TGTGCAACTTATAATTTGAAGAAATAAGGCTACACTGAAGCATAGATCACTACATCTGTGTACGCATGTGTCCGGGAGGTAAATAACACATTCTACAAAATTTAATAATGGCTCACAAACAGCATAGACGTGAAGAGTAAAGTAGCAAGATTAAGGTGGGTTATATTAAAATAAACTCAGAAAAGAACAACACAATCTTAATGGCTCTCAGAAGCCAAACTGCTACTTACAGGAGAGCTGAAGAACGCAGTCTAGAAGAAAGTTCAGGCAAAGGCTTTACTGAATTCTTCAAGTGCCACTTTATCGCTAGGTTTGCCAATACATTTTGAGAGCTGGGGAAAAAAAAAGAATAATAGTTCATTAAAAAGGTACGGGTAAGAATTTTTGGCCAGTTCATGTCCTGGCAACAGGGCATTGTCACTTTATACATTTTCAAATCAGCATGTTACTGTCTTTTAGTTGACTATGTGCGAGCTTGAATATGAGCTGTCGTTAGTGGAATGCTGCCACCTTTCTGTATTTTTTTTAGAAAATGCTTCTGTTTTTAGAGTAATGATGGCATTTTGGTTTAATAGCTTAGTTGAAAGTTTAAATAGTCTTATTTTTCATTTTTAACAGGTAACTACTTACATATTAAACTCTTCCTTTCAAGAAAATTGGGCAGTATTTGCAATACAAGCAGTTAAGGCTTAGGGAACCTAATTACAGGACCACCACAGTAAGTCTCCCACCGTCAGCTTATTTTTAGAGTTTCATTATAGGCACTGTGCGCAGGATCTTGCTAGTAGCATTTAAGGCAGTAGCTCAAATTGCAGTGCATAAATCACAACACCTCATTAGCAAAGTTTCTTTCTTACCTTTGTAAAACTTACTTCTTTTTGGGAAGAAAGTCTGGAAGTCAATTATAATGAATTTTACCTTTGAAAGAGCTGGAAAATAGAAAAATGACATATGCATTGCATCATGCTGAGGCTGACCAAACCAGGCAACTTGACGTACTTCTGAAGTGCAGGTGTTTCTTGGCCCTGTACTAGAAAACTAAGCCTAGAGCATTCCTTAAGTGGAGAACGTCTTCTGTGGAAAAAAAAAATTATACCCTTTTCTACTACTCTCAACTTTCTGCCAGGTATCTAGCAAAAAAAGTTTTTTAAAAGTTGGACTCCAACATACACATTTTTGGATTGTAGACTCTGTCCTCACGTACAGCACTGTCATCACAGACATGAGTACACATGCTATTGCAAAAAAAATAATTCACATGTAAGATACTCTTTAAGTGTATTCCTTGAACTACTTAGGAATGGCTCAGAAAGCGGTTCATGTATGTTGCCTTTTTGACATGTTGCATCCCACTGCACATACTGGAGTTTACTAGAGGTAAAAAGGAAAAATACCAAGTGCTTCACTGTATGACTGTTTCTCCACGTGACAAATGTTGGAAGTCTCATCCCTTCAGAACCAACTTTGTGGAGCAGATTGGAAAGCCAGGGTGAACAGTTCTATTAATTCAGTCATATTTGTTTCCAAGACTAAAGAACTGTAGATTAATCCACTGCATGCAACCAGCCTTGAGAAGGATACAGTTTTCTGTTGGTTGTTTAAAAAAAAAAAATTAAAAAATCAACATTTGCTTTGTTTACATGAAAAAAATCATACTGCTACTGGAGTTAAGGTCAGCTGGTTCTTTCCAGCTGAGACCACCACCAGAGTAACTTCCATCATCGGAGCACAACTAACAACTCATCTGCTATGGAAAGTTTGAATGTAATTCAGCCAGTTCCTTAGAGAAGTCTCAGCTCTCCAAGGCTGGCTGGAGTAGAAGTGTACTTTTGTAAGTGTAGTGTAACAAATTAGAAAGTACATTAAAAAAAACCCAAAGTTCTTACATAAAAGTGGCTTTCCATGTTAAAATACTACTTTATTTGTTGGAAATGTTGTATGTTTAATATGAGCCCTGGTAATTACAGAAATTTTGCAGAAATTACAGAAACTTTGCAGTTAAAAACTAAAAAAAAAAAAAGGAACATTGTGTGAGGCTGTATCTACAAGCTAAGAATGAAATAAATCTTCCATAAAATTAATCTCTAACCAGAAAAAAACCCTGTCAATTACAGAGAATTATAATAGAGGATTTAACATTGAAGTCAGTAATCCTTAGTTACAAATGAACAGGATTTCAAGGTATTCCCTACAGCACGTTTCTAAGAACGGAGAGCATCACATTAAGTATTTCCCATTCCCACTGTTTACAGCAGCTACTTTCTGGATTTTAAAGGAACAGAGTAACAATTCAGACCTCTTGTGAACATTCCTCCTCATTTTCCACCATAGGGAAGAAATTCATCGACATACGGAACCCTAATAGCTGGCTTTAAAGCACGGGCATGATTGGATTATGAAACTCATAGAAGAGATTCCACTATCTTGTCTCAGTAACACACGTGAGGCAAAAGACTCTCTCTACATCCCCCCCACGCCAGGCCTCTCAGCACAAAAAACTCTGTGCACAGAAATCAAAAATAAATAGCATTGTGTTTTCATTTGGGGTTTGTTTGTTTGTTTTCCCATTGCCACATTAGTATTCTGCAACAAAACTCATTTGGTAAATTGGTCTTGCACATTATCAACTTAAGGCTAGATTACTTTTCCATTCAAGTATGAACACTTGATCAGCTACATATAATTGTTTTCTGATAATTCAATATAAAAAGTTCACACACAGAAACTGTTCTTTTTTCATTACTTATGCAGCAGGTCAGCAAGACAGTTTGAAAGCCAGCTAAACAAGCACTGAATGTATGGACTTCAAGGGAGAAAATCCACAAACTCAACGAAGTCCAAACTGTAAACAAGTTCTTGAACTGTGAATAACAAATGTTAAAAAAGAAACCACTTCAAATATTTGACTATCACATAAACCACACAAGTAATAATTACTTTTTTATAATGCCTTATTAGTGAATTGTTTCAAGGAAGATAGAACATGTCATCCTCCATAACTTTATGTGACAATCTCTTTTAAAGGATTCACCAGGATGTCAGCCTCATATACGGTCATTATTGCGACATGCTAAACCTTCTAGTTACTTACTGCTCAGCTTCATTCTCTATTTTACATCTCTCTATTTTTCCCTGATGGGCAAGTGACTTTTTCCTGCATTGTTTCTACTTACAACTTCAAAGCACATCAGACGTTGCACAGAAGCAAAAACTTAAGATGACTCTTCTGAAAGGCAAAAATCTGTTCAAACCACCAAACACACACACACATACAGCTTTAGTTCAGACCAATTACCCTGGCTCAACTTCCACCAGAGCTTAACACCTCGAGTTTATAAATTAAAACAAGCTGAATTCAAGAACACAGCTCAATTTAACAAAGTTTAAAAAATACCGAAGGCCTGCCCTGAACTTCAGCACACTTATTTCTAAAACACAAACCCAAAGCAGTGATGTGAGGGCCTAGTGATATCGCTGGTATCAGAGGTTAAGACCTCTAGGCAGGTTTAAGACTTGCAGGCCACCTGAAGATGCATTAGATCACTCACACATGCTTCAGGTCTGTTAGGTTTATTGAGATTTCTTCTTTAGATTAATTTAAGGAGGACAATGGTTAATTCTATGTTACCTAGAGTGGTTTCCTAAAACATGAAAGGATAGCACAAGCCTATTTTGTAGAGAGGGAAAAACTTACCATAGGTGTTAACAGAATAACACTCACTAGTAACACTAGTACACAGCCAAGAAAATACATGCCTGGATATCTGCAGAAGAAATCCACATAACTATTTACCATGACAAAGCCTTGTTGTTTAACACACAGAACTGTACTGGGGATCAAGTACTATGAAGATCATCCACCAGGAATAATTATTTCCACATAATTAACAGGCATCTGAACTGTGGCTGTTACAATGCGTACAGACAGTACATCTGAACTGTGACTTCTGTGCCCAATCTAATCCGCACTAACAGATGTCCTGCTTAATGCCTACTGTGAAATGATCCCTGGCTTTGCCCTCGCTCTTTTTTCCCTTCTTTTTTTTATTTTATTTTATGGTATTAAAAGTGAGAATCTGCTAAGAACCTTCCTGAAAGACACATTTAAAGGCAATTAAAATGCCTTGCTTCATAAAGCAAGCCTGCCATTTAAAAGTCCTAAGCAACTTAATTTGAAAATGCACAGCCTCCTCAACAGAGGAATCAGAAAAAAAAATTGGACAAAAGATATATTTAAAAACAGACTGTAGGGACTTTAATTAGCTTCTGATCTGAATTCTTCAATACAGGTGGTGAGGACAGTGTAATTCTCTCAAATCCTTTTGGCAAAACATAAAATACTCAATAATTTATTGATGTCTTTTCAGCTCTCTATGTTCCTGACACAGATTCTCAGACAAAAGAAGGTATGAGAGGAGAGTTCTTCATGATTAACTGATGCTCCACATATCTCATCTTCTGGATATACATTTCCACCAAACAGGAAAGCATTTCTTACACCCAACGTGAGTGTTCCATGCCACATAGCACAGAATTTTGCGAGACGAGGGCTATGACTGCTCTCCACAAAACACCTAGAGACATCTCAGCCACCACCACAAGAGATGGGTAATAGTTGCCACTAGCTGGGCCCACCGTTTACCAGGGTACCTGCTATTTATATACTAAATGACATACATTCTTGCCTTTCCTTACCAGGAAAAGGTAAGGATTTCCCACCGCAAAGTATTTCTAACAGGTGTCTGAATCTTGACTGCTCTATGACCAGGGAAGAGGTACTCAACTAGTCAGGATTTCAAGATATAAACTACAATTGCTTCATCAACTCAGGAGCCTGCATCCTAAAGAGAAGGTACAGTATGAGAAGGACACAATTAATATTTTAAGTATTTATTTATATTAAAAAATTTTTATCCAGTAATATAGAGCTTTACACAATAATATACTGTTTACTCTTTACCATCGGTACACAGTGAGTTCATAAAAATGCAACTAGGAAAGCCTTTACCAATATAGTTAGAATTTATTCTTGTTTCCAGTGATGATTAAAATAGGTTTCTTACAATTCACTTCAGCTGTTTCAGCTCTTGAATCAGCTGGTGCTCATTAGGCCACCTCTTCTGCTTTATTCAATTCTTCTTTAGCTTCCACATCTGCCACCTCAGGGTGACTGCTAGCAGCATCCCTAGCTGAGAGCTTTTTCATTTTAATGTTTGGCAGTTTCCTCAGATCACCATCCCATTCTCTTAAAGAAAAAAAAAAAGTAATGAAAAACAATTACCAACAGAAATAGCAAGAAGGAAGGGCAGAGTTAATTCACCTTTCCTCAGAAGATGCTAACTCAAGTGAGGCTGCTTTTCTAAATTATACTATCAGTCACACTGCAGTATGAATAAACAGCAACATTTTCACCTGATCTTGTACACTATGGCAGCTGTAATTTCCCTGTGAAGAATTAAATACTTTCAGATTTGACATGCTGAACAAAAAAATATATGATTCACTTTATTCCCACAGACTATTTGTATCCTCAGATACTTTAGGCCACCTGCGTTTAGGTTTGACACACTAAATTCACGTAAGTCTTGTAAGCAATGGAAAAGCACTTAGGAAAAGCTTCTTCATCTGGATGCTCAATCTGCAGAGTTAATGTACATGTACATAAAGCCCTTCATTATGATTTATGTTAACTGTTAACATCTTGTATGACTGACTTGGGACATGAAATGTTAGTAAACATTAATTCACGTAAGTATATTATTTCAAAAGGCTCCACAATGGAAGAAGAGTTCATTTAAATATCACAAGTCAAATCCAGTACTCAATTAATAGAATGATTGCTTGATTATAGTAAGTGCACTTCATGGATCATTCTTCTCAAGGGCAAAGACAGTATTTGCCAATTATAAGACAGGTGTGGTTTTGCTCTACCAAGATAATAAAACAACACTTCTATCAGATGTCCCAGTACAAGAAGTCAATTGTGTATTTATTATAGACACAGCAGCCAGAGGCCTGTCTCTTTTTTGACATTTCTGGCTTTATTCCAAAACGCAAGATGTATGACTTCTGGCTACATACCACCCCTAGGAGTTAGTGGTATATCATTCCTGGCAGCATAAGCAGTCATAAGTCTTTCTTTTTCCATTTGATAAAGCTGTCAGCAAGAGTGTTCATTCAATCCATTACCAAGGCATACTGGCTTGCTGTCTCAGATGAGCTAGTGGCAAGTTTCACAGCTCGAGATCTTTTAACTGAATGCAAGTCACCAATTCACTTAAGATTTTCAACTAGTATTACAGACAAACACTGCTGCAGACTGTATTGCACCTACAGTCAGATCTTAGAAAACATGACTAAAAACTCAGTGCTGTTTTATATACTTAATTATAAATTCTGACTATATATAACTTAGGTCACTATGTTATATGACAATATGACAATTACCATCTGAAATCTCATTTCAGGTAAGAAAACAGTGTAATTCCATTTATCAATAAATATATGTCTTGATCCTTAAACACCAATGGTAAATGCTAATCCTTTTTGTGTAAATCAGTGAACAGCTGAGGTGAGAATTTTAGGGAAA